TTTCTGTCTCCGGTCTCCATAGACTCACTAAATGCCTTCAATCTTTTTCTTTTTCTTTCTTTTGCTCTCCCTCCTCTGTGCAAATTAATTTATGGTCTAATTACAAGACAAGCCCCCAGATATGAAGGAACACAAATCACTGGTCCTTACCAGATGGCAGAAAAACGGCACAGGATAATTGAAAATCTCGAAGTGGATCAATATTTAGAAGCCCAAGGTTACACAGAGTGTGACACTACTATTAACATGGAAATATGATGCATTACATCTGCAGGCAAATTGGCTTATGTGATTTGATGCTGGATGTATTCTATCAGGAAACCTGTTTGTGCATATTCTTCAATGGCTGTAGTTCTTAGCAGGTATCACTCTGCTGTCATAGTTCCACATGCATATGGGCAGCCATATTCAGACTACTGCAATCCTGCACCACACTGACCAGTTAGTGCTGTGTGGTGCAGGACTCGGGATCTCCTTTATGACACAATAGTGCCATGAAATCTTTAAGCCTTACAGTGTCACAGACTATCTCTGCCCACCCAACCCCTCTCTAGCATTTACCTCTGGCCTGTTAAAAATTATATCAGCGCATGGAGGGCAAGCATTAGCATTTGCATTTTATTGGAAGCACAGAGATTTAGAGCAGAGGATATATCAGCTCTGAGCAGACAGAATTAGTTAACAATGCATTACCTGCCTTTTATGGTGGCTATAACTCTTACCCCCTGGTGGGGAGAGGAGATGAAGGCAGGAGTGTGGAGGAGGAGAGGAGAGGTGGGAGGTGGAGGTGGAACCACAGCCAGCAGAAGGTGGGTGTTGAGAGCTGTGTGCCGCGCAAGAGGGGGACATTTAGAAAGTAGAGGCTTTGTCTGTGGTGCTTTACTGCACGTTAAGTGTGATCGCCACACAAATTAGAGCATCACTTTGCAATCACCTTCACACAGATCAGTGCTCAGCACCAAGGGGTGATGAGCCGGTTGTCACTGCAGACATTTTTATCTGCATGTAACAAGGAAGAGGAGACCCAGCTGGTTTGCAGCTGTGCTTACATGTTCTCAACAAAATACAATTTTCGCACTACTTTCATTTTCTCAATTCTTTGCTTAATTGCAACCAACTGGAAACCATTCATCTTTTTTCTTTTTTACATTTTTCTTTTTTTTGCACTCTGACATGAGTTTGTATTATCACATTTATCTCTTTGTTGTTTTAGTAGTATCCTTGAGCAAACTTTGACTATGATTGGACCCACTGCGTCACTCCGTTTTCCTCTCACCACAGCTGCATAGTAGCTCCCCCGGCACTCGTTTATTGTAATGTTCTTTGCAAGATGACCCCACCTCTGCTGCAGGCAATACCCTGTGGAACTCATTTGCACCTAGAAGTTACTAGTCAGAAGAGTATATCTGAAGTGCAAAGAGCCTGTTGCAAATAAATAAAAGAAATTACAGCAAGGTATAATCGCCATTAACACAAAGAGGGTTCGTTCCAGGATACACATGCAAAAATTGAACATTTGTCTACTTTATATGTAGGAATTAACAATATCAGGAATTGCCTAAGTCAAAAAAGGCATCACTAAGTCCTCTATAGCCTGGACCTTCAATACAGTTTGCATTTGAATTACCCTAAAAGACCTTTTTAGGGCAGTAATACCTTGTTTTTATTATTATTATCATTTATTAAGAAAGTGCTGCATGGTGGCACACTGGGTAGCACTGTTATCTTGCAGCAAGAAGGTTCTGATTTCAATTCTTTTTGCATGTTTGCATGTTCTCCCTGTGCATGCCTGGGTTCTCTTCAGGTACTCCAATCCCCCAACCCCACAGTCCATAAACATGGCTATTAGATTAATTGGCTTATCTTAATTGTCCTTAGGTGTAAATGTGTGTATGATTATTTGCTCTGTAACATAGTTGCGACCTGTCCAAGGTGTACCCCTCCTTTCTCCCTTAGACTGCTGGAGATAGGCACCAGCCCCACCGCTGCCCCGATGAAGAAAGCGGGAGAAGATGGATGGATGGATTCATTTAGAGTTCGACCTGCACTTCATTCTGTAGTTCCATAGATTCTACTGACGCTATGACTGGGATCCATTTGAGTGACCACAGTGGTTTCTTTAATAATAAAATCTACTGAGCTGAGTTTGTCAGCAAACTGTTTCAGGCTCCATAAAAAAGCCTGCCGTTCTCTGCCTTTGCCCAGCTTAATGGTCCCAAGGGTTGGATATTTACTAGTGACCTTTGCATTCCATTTGGAGTGTAAAAACCCTTTTGCAAGGAAAATTCCATTACTCTCAGTGTACCGTAGCTGCACTATAGGTGTGCGGACATTAAAAAGAGCTGCTATCCAGGCAAGCAAAAAAAAGAGAGAAAGAGAAGATAATAGAGGATAAAAAGAATAACCCTTGCAGTTCCTGTATTCTTGTGAAACAAGATTCATAGATTAAAATTGTGTTTAAAAATACATTTGTAAAATATTATATTTCCATTTAGAACTGAAGCCAGTTCAGGTTAAAAACCTCCTTTATACTCTGGCATTTGTATAAATTAGATGGAAATTCAGCTGCCTCACACATTACAGCATTCCAGTTTTCCATGTGCTGAGCTTGGTATTCAGGCTGTGTTATTTTCCCCTCGCTGGTATTTTTCTGATGCTCCATCACTGCCTTGGAATCGACCATGCATGAACCATAACGATCAGCCGGTTCACATCCGACCTTCACTGAGTCACACTTCATCTCCTTCTCCGATTATTTTTGCACATTTATCTTAGAGACAATTCCATAAGAGAAAAACAACAACAAACAGAGGCAGACTGACTTTGAGTGTTTTTCATGTACATGCGTTGTGACACCAAGCAGCAACTTTTACAAAGGTTTGCCTGTTTGTGTGGGTTGAAGGAAACAAGATGACAATCTCATTGCTGAATCTAAACACACATTAATCTGAGAGCTATTTTAGATTTTTCTCTAGTGAGAATATACTTATTCTGTAATGGTCACTGGATGCAACTAATGGTGCCATCTGCTGATTGAGAACAGTTAGTGCAACTCAAATTCTAAGCCAAAAATGTTAAGTAAAAAAAATCTCTTTTTAATCTCAGTCAATTGCTATAGTAAATTAAAGTATGTCTATGTCTAATAATAACAGAGATAAGAAAGTTTACAGAGTCATTTAACACATATATTTTAAGGGTATTTTTTTAATATAATTTAAATGATTATGGATTTACAGTCAGTTAATAATACCCACAAGAGGATTGCTTGTTGGCTTTTGTTCAGGTGTGTTTGGTGAACAGTTAAGCATTGTAATAACATGGTAACCTTAGCAGACTACCATAACATTCTACTCAAGTAAAAGCAGTAATAGTTCAACATATTTTGACTCGAACTAATGTAAAATGTCATTCAAGTTACTCAAGTATGAGTACAAAAGTATTTGGTTAGGTCAGTACAAAAGTACTGAGTGCTTTACTGTTCAAAATGTGATCAGATCATAGTATCATTCATCCTGTTTTAGAGACTAAAAGAACGAAATTAAGATACATATTTTGAAAATTGAACTCACTGCTCCAAATGAAATTTTTACTTAAATCATACAAGACCCTGTCTTATATATGTAATACATGTATAGTAGAACAGGGTACCTCCAGTGATAATATCCATTGTTTACTTCTTACTCTATGTTGTAATCCCTATCCGCAGTTAAATGTAATTTTATGTTTGCAAAACAAATAATTTTTGTAAAATTTGAGCTATGTCTGAAAATATTTAGAAAAGGGTTCTCTATTCAGTTAAATTATCCACATATTTTGTTCACTGGTACGTGACTGCTCTGATTTTGGACTAGAGAAAATGTGGGACAAATACCAACAAGTCAATGACAAATTTACTTTCCTTTGCAAATATTTTTGGCTAATGGACAGTCCAGCCTTTTTAGCTAGGCAAGACATTCCTAACAGACTCGTTGGTTCGGGTGAGGCTTAAAACAAAAATAAAAGCTCAAGCCCTGGTCCTACATAACTGTACACCAACTCTTGAGCCATTTAATTTCCTGCAAATCTTTAAAACGCTGCACAAATCTGCAGACATCCTTTTCCATACCTCTATCTGTATATGTTCTTTAGTCATTTGAGGCTTATCCTTCTAAGGGTTTAAAATAACATCTGCTGCTTAAGTCTTTTCCACATTCTTCCTTGGGACTTATGTCATATTTCTCTTAATAGTTTTACCAGGACTATATATTTTACCTTTATGGAGGGGGGGGGGGGGGGGGGGGGGGGGGGGGGGGGGGGAGAATAGATTCTACTATATCTAAACAGACATGTTGGGGGAAAAAAATTATTTGAACCAAATTACTAAAAAAAATAACATTAAGACATTTCCAACTTAGCTGCCTGGAGGGAAATCAGCTCAAACGTGTGGCACACAAAAGCTCAGACACCTACTTCAACACACAAAAAAGAAAGTTTTATTAAAAGGGGGCTACTATACACATACCTGTAACTTTCATTTCACACACACACACAAAAAAATTTGAAAAAAAAATGGCAAAAACATTTCTGATCAAGAGGGGGAAAAAGTTATACAATGAACTATTGGTATAAAAAGAAATACCATCACCCCTTTCTCAGGGGGAATTTGGAATTGGCTAAAGATTTGGTCCAAAGTGAAAACCAAACCACATCAATGATGTGTACATTAAAAAGTTTGTCTAAGCACCCATAAGATTTTAACTGTTGAGTTTAAATGACCAATTATAAACCACAGACATTACCATCAACATCCACATTTTCTCAACTTTGACACGTTTCACCATAAATGCAAAAATTTGGTTCCTTAATGTTGAACTCTGTAATTAAATTTAGCTGCCACTAGGTGGCAAACTCTAATAGGGGCCAGGAATTTTTTTCCCCCCCACCCAAGACCTGTGGATATCAACCTGTGAAATATTCTGAATAATCTCAGACTACAGCAAGAAGAAAAAAAAAAAAAAAAATGTAAAGAGAGTAAAATGTTTTATTGTACTTCATCACAGTCATGTGACGTTTTTTAAAAATTACAACATATGAGGATAACCGGCAACAAAAGAAAATACAAAAGCCACTATGCAGTGAAGAGAGTCGTTTAAAACTCAGAATATTTTGGAAAACATGAAAAACAAAACTATACGATTAAAAACAGCTTTTAAAAGTGATAAGCAGTCCTACATGATTAAAAATAGTTCTTAAAAGGATGCGATGAAGCAGTCAAGAAAATACTGATGCAGCTGCTTCACAAATACAAACGCTATTGTTGTTTTACTATGGGGAGACACAGATCAGTGATTTAAAATTTAGAACAGGATGCCATGGTAATACAGTATGCACCCCGCTTCTCAAAATTAATATGCTTATTACATCTTAAAATTTAAATTTGTGCATTTCTTTCTGCTATAATCGCATCCTTTTTAGTCCTAAGAACATATGCTAGGATAATAAAAAAAGTTAAATCGATATAAAGACAAAGACAGTGACTCTTTCCCCCTGTAGCACATCACCCACAGCCACTGCAGCTCCTTTTTGGATGTACCCCCACCCCAGCAGTCTGTGGCCATTGCGCTCTGATCAGGGCATGGATAGAGGAAACGACAACCATGTCTGTCATCTTCGTGTCAGTTGACATGGTATAAGTGAAAGATGGGGGGAGATTTCAGGTGTTTGAGAAAAAAAAAAAAAAAAAACTACAAAAAAAAAATAAAGTCTGACTCAAGGTTGTCCCTGCAGTGGAGTGTTCCTCTTGAGTCGAGGCACTCATGCGGTGACAGCATCCTTCTCCTTCTTGTCGCTGTCTTCGTGCCAGGTGAGACGCTCTTCGTAGAAGGCTATGACGATCTGTGGACACTTATGATTGGCCTCCTTGGCAAGTACAAGATCCGCCTCATCGGAATCTTTCCTGTAAGAGAATTAGAAATCATCTGTACCATCCTCGGATTTTAGCATAAGTTGCACACCTTCAGTTTTATTCATCTGAATCTTTCGCTGCAGATTACTGAAGAATAGTATGAATAAGCAGCAAAAAAAAAACACACATAACGCTGATTGATAAGCATTTTACTCTGAGGCCATTAGAGCTACCTGCAAAATCCCAGGGTTAAAATTCATATCAAAATATGGGTTTCTATACAGTATTAAAAAAAAGAATCTAAATATACATGCATCACTTAACCCCTAGAAACTAGATTGTTTCACTACATTAAACACAATACGCAAATGGAGAAATCTGGAAGGTTAATTTCCCCGCAAATGTGGCTCATTTATGGCCTTATGTCATAACACCTTTACATTAGGATTAGGACAGCAAGTCTCATCTAATAGCAGAAACTAGAGAAGCAGCTGAGCATTTAATGACAAACATTCCCATTACACTTAAATACTCATTTATGTTTATCCAACTTTATTTGGATACATCTCACTTTGTGAAAGTTGCTTAAAAAAAAAAAAACCTAATTTACCTTGATGCAAGTTGGGTCTAATGATTTAATCCAACATTGCACTACAAGTTTGCAGATAGACACTGCATTGAGGGTATGAAAAATATTGTCTAAATGTCAAATTCAACAATTTATCATCCTAAAAAGGTCAATGAAAAGTTATTGTGATGCAGTGATCTCAGCAGTGCAAAGTGCTCCTAAAAATATGTCAAAACCTACCACTTCATGAGAAACATCAAGTCTCCACACGAGTCAGTTGCTCCGATGATCTTCTCCGGCTCAAGGCCCCTCTCAAACCCACGTGCCACTAGGATTTCATCCTGAAACAAAACCAGTGTCATCGAAAACCATGAAAAACAAAAGCTAAAATATACAAAATATATATTTCAACTATACTTCAACATATCAAATACATAAATAGAAGTTATCAAAGTAAAATTAATAATGAACCATTTGAAAATCTCACTTAAAGACAAATCAGTGTCAAAATTATTTCCCACACCCCTTTATAACAATAAACAAAACAGTCCCAGGTGCTATATCAAGCTGAACGTATACATACAAATGTGCTGCATTACTATGTGCATTTACGTACCTCTTTCTTTTTCTTGGGCTTGCTACTGCCCTCTTCATCATCATCAGAGCTCCTCTTCTTGGAGCTGCTGGATTCTTTTGAACGCCCTGAAGAACCAGTTGTAGATTTGCTGGCCCCGCTGCTTGGTGCAGAAGTCCCACTATTGCCTTTCTTGTAGGTCTTCATAAACTCTGCTATCAGCTCAGGACAGTCCAGATTCTTTTCTGGCTCCCATGTGTTGTGCTTGCTGCAATATAGTAGAACATGTTCTGGCTGGGTCATGGTAAGAGGGTTTTGTACCTAAATTAAAGGCTTTAAAAATATTATAATCATCATGGTGTGCATCATATCATATGCATGTAGTCCTCGATTCTTAACTTACTCTGAGTATCCTTTCCATTTAAGGAAAAACTCCACTCTTCCTTTCACCACCCTCCGATCCAGCACCTTCTCCACAACATATTCTTCCTCTTCAGAGGATGAGGATTCTTCGTCGCGAGACTTTTTGCCCATGGCACAGTCCGGAGCCTAGCAACACGCTGACACAGGCCTTCGATACTTCCCTGTTCACGAGGATACACAAAACAGCGTTAACCCAAATACAACGCAACCTGACACATAATATATTTAAACAAATGCAAATACACCCCAAATGATGCATATCCTACGCGAAAGTTATAGTTAAGTGGTACCTAATGGCCCAATTTGACACAAGAGTAGCAGAAAGGAAACGTTTTATTGTGGTGTATCCCTTCTGCAACATGCTATCACTGCGAAAATGGGATGCATCCAAAGTGAAATATCGACAAATGTGTTTTTTATTTCAATGCTTGGAGCAAATATATACCCAAACTAAAACTGTGCAATATAGCATTTGCACAAAAGCTGCACATTGCAACGATGTTTGATGCCGTCCTGAGCTAGCCCAGCCCTTGCTTTCCAAGTTAGCTTGTCATGTAGCCTGGCTAGCTACCGTTTTAACAAGCATGCCGTCTATACATATCAAACAACTAATTCATACTTCCAATATTAATCATCTTGTTGGCGGAGCATTTCCTTACCGTACGGACAGTAAAAAGGAGCGTTTTTCGGGCACTTAACGGCAGGCTTGTATCCCGTCTATTGTGAAGCAGCAGAGAGGCCGAACGCAAAGGCTACTTTAGCATTTAGCTTCCACACAGGTGCTGTGCGCAGAAAAAGCGCGCCTTAAAGCGTACAACGATTGAACCCGCCCCTTTTTCTCTGATAACATGTGCCATTTTTAGGAATATTTTCAATTATTCTTTGCCTTTTAAAAATTCTGTATCGATTTTGGTTTATTTTTTGTCATTAACGTTTAAATTTCACCACATTTAGGAGGGTTTCATGTTGTTTTAATCCTTCCAAAGCCTATTATTTTTCAGTGATTTCATATAAAATACGTATCCTTTAAACTATTTTCAATTTGTTTTGGTCTTTATATAGTTGATCTTACTTAAATATTAAACACATTTTCATATGTAGTTTGGCAGTACTAGAGGTTTGCTAAATCTGTTTGCGTTATTAAATCTTCCTGTGAATGGCTTTTATGTCCTTTGGGATAATTAATTGTCTGCCTTTCTCAGTGGATCTATTTGGGCCGTTGCAAATGTTGCAAATTATTTCAAAAACGTGAATGTATAGTAACTTAAACTAGATCAACCCCAGAATGAATTCTGCAATTTCAACTAATTTGTGGATAAATTGATGGCATGGAAGTCACTAGATCGCCATTTTCCTGTAATTTTAAAAAAAATGTTCTCCTGTCTAGTGATTGGTTATTCATTGTGATTGGCAGAGCGAAGACCAATTAAAATGCGACCCAAACCGATAAGCCGACGCAGCGGGAACCATCACCCAATGGTAGCACAGAAGAGGCGTATCTTTCCCTATTTATTGTGCTATCCAGAAAAAAGTCCGGTCTCGCCTGACGCAGAATCGCTGCTCTGCGGCTGTACTACAAGGAGGCTTCAAGGATAAACCTACAAGATGTCGAAAGACGTAAGTTAGACGTATTTCTTCACGCATTTCGGCCCGGTAAATATATCCTATACGTCTTAAAATGGCTAAAGTTTGGATTTGATGCTTAATTTGTTCGATCGTAGACACGATGTCTTCAGCTCCTCTCGCTTACAGCAGAGCGGCCATTTTATAATATCTGGGGCTCGTGGTCTTTTGTTCTCGTCGCCAGCGGTTGACGAAATTTAAAAGTGAAAAGTGGCGTTTTACACTAATACACATTAGCCCTCTACAGATATAAACTAAAGTTAGTGGTTCAGTAGTTCGCATTTAATACGTAGCATTCCATGCCATTAACCGAGCGACATGCGTTAATGGCGGCGACGGCTCCCTCCTCCGCCATGATGAAGAGGGGGAGGGGGTTACTTATTTACACACATTTCACTTATTATGAAAATGTTATCAAGAATGCATTAGCTTGACCATTATGAAGAACTTAATATGTGTCTGTTTAGGTCCCTCGTGAACCAGAGCAGCTCCGCAAGCTGTTTATTGGAGGCCTGAGCTTCGAGACGACAGACGAGAGCCTGCGTGCTCATTTTGAACAATGGGGGTCCCTTACAGACTGCGTGGTACGTATGTGTTAAATGCTTTCATTTATTGTAGTTTAAAGTGCAGTTGTTTAAAAAGGTTGTTTCTTTAGGTCATGAGAGATCCCAACAGCAAGCGGTCCAGGGGTTTTGGCTTTGTTACCTATTCCTCAGTACAGGAAGTTGATGCGGCAATGGCTGCCCGTCCTCACAAAGTGGATGGGAGGGTCGTGGAGCCTAAACGTGCTGTGTCCAGAGAAGTATGAAACATGCAATGGCAGTCGTAATTTAATCAATGTAGTTTACAGATTTCTTTTTGACTAATACATTCATTTGTTCTTTTAGGACTCAAACCGCCCAGGTGCTCACGTAACTGTGAAGAAAATCTTTGTGGGAGGCATCAAAGAGGACACTGAGGAGTGTCACCTTCGGGATTATTTTCAACAGTTTGGCAAAATCGAGGTCATTGACATTATGACCGACCGCGGCACTGGAAAGAAGAGGGGCTTTGCTTTCGTCACCTTTGATGACCACGATTCAGTGGACAGGATTGTCAGTAAGTAAATGGGCATCCTTGTTTCAATGGGAATTTTCTGTTGCAGACAGTGCTGATTTAGTTTTTTCTTCTCTCTTGTGCAGTTCAAAAATATCACACCATAAACTCTCACAACTGCGAAGTCAGGAAGGCCCTGACTAAGCAGGAAATGCAAAGCGTAGGAATGGGAATGAGAGGAGGACGCAGCAGCGGGGGAAGGCCATATGATTACGACAGAGGCTTCAACCAGGGTAGGACTTGTGAGCAAAACTGTTGTTATGGTAATCTCAATTAAGCCTCATATTGTTTTCTTTGTGATTTAAGGTAGCAGAGGTAGATATGGAGATGGTCCTAATAATTGGAACGATGGCGGTAAGTGTCTTGGTACGCATTTATTTTGTATTTTTGGTGAATCTTGGAGCTAAATCGGTCTGTGTATTAGGTTATGGAGGTGGCCCTGGAGGTCCTGGTGGATACGGCAACGGTGGAAACAGGGGCTATAACCAGGGTTACAACCAGGGTGGTGGAGGCGGCGGCGGTGGAGGCTATGGTGGAAACGGCTACGACAGCAACGGTTATGGTAAAGACCTACAGAGCATTAATTTACGTTTTAATAGTGTTTTTGGTACACCTCGCTTTACTTTTTTTTTTCCGCCTTTTCTGTTCAAGGTAACTGTGGTGGCGGTGGTGGAGGCGGCGGCAGTGGCTACAACAACATGGGCCATTACGACCCCCAGGCCTCTAACTTTGGTCCAATGAAGAACAACTTTGGAGGTGGTGGCGGCGGCGGTGGAGGCAGGAGCTTCGGTAAGCATTTTGATTTTCACATTTGGTGAAAGTATACCTACTGAGCCTATAAGTAAATCAAACCTGTGTCTCTCAGGTGGCTATGGAGGCGGCTCCAACAATCCTGGTGGCTATGGCCGACAGGGGCGATTCTAAGACTTCGAGTGGTAAGGATCTAACCACTTGTTTTAGCTTGTATTTTGTCTGAAAAACCAAAGTTTTATCATTGCAGGACATCTTTGAGTAGTGATAACTAAAAAGAAAATACACTGTGGATGTCAGGTCATACAAAGTCAGTGCATAGTTAACAATGTTGTTCCATATTGTTCAACAGGACTGATTACTTAGGAGAGGAGAGCAAGGAGAGGAGAGCAAGCGAAGTGACAGGGCAGCTGCAGGTTTACCTCCTAAATCTGCTCAGCCAAGCAGTTGTGGCAGGTTACAGCTGCTACAAGAAGAGATGAACTTTAGATAAATCATGGAGGGCCTTCAATTAAACGTTGTCTTCTGTTTTTTTTCTTTCAACAAAATGTGTTTATAAAAAGCATTCCAATGAGGGTTTTATGTTTTATCTTTGAGTCTGGTTTTTATTTGTAACTGCTTCAAATCACTGAAATAAACCCACCTTTCAGTTTTTTAAGTCGTGTTAGATTTGTTTATTTTATGTAGTGGTATGGGTAAGGGAGGGTGCACTGTTAGATGTTGTGCAGAGTGGGGATCAGGGCAATACTGAATGATTGCCAGGGCAATGCTGAATGAGGCATTTGGGAAGGAAAGGAGAACCCAGCATCTACAGCTCTGGTTAAGAAGTGTGCAAATACTATCATCATAAAGAGGCCATCACTTGGTACAGACTCTACCCTCATTTCAACAAAGATCAACTGGAAGATGCTAGCTTACATCTAAAGTGAGGCTAGCCATGGAAGCAAGCTAAGGGAGAGAAGTAGCAAAGCCATCGCCAGGATCATTGAAGCAGGGGAGAGTGAGAACAGAGGCCTGAGGCTAGCTGAAAGAAGCTACCAAAACGCTTAAATGCTGTTCGTAGGTAAGACCAGACTTCTCAACAATACAGTAAATCTAACCTTTGAATTGTAGCTGGTAGTCGGTTTTATGGCCAGCAATGGTGTAAACATAAATTTATTCTTCAGTGTCGATGGTAACATTGACCTCTGTAATTGTGAATGGAGGTCAAATATTGCATGCATTAATTTTCTCAATGTGAAATACTGCCTGTTCACTCACTTAACTGTTTCTTTCCAGAAAGTTCCAGTGGTGCCCAAAATGTGACTCATTTCCACGACATGACTCAGACAGGTATTAAGAAACACACTTACATTTGTCCTTTTATTATAAATTATTCATTTAATCCCCTACCCCCCCTCAACAGGTTAACTGGACATGTGTTCAGTGCAGAAGTGTTAACTTCACTGAAGACTGCTGTGCAATCTTTTAATTCTTTTTACATCCTTTTTTAATAAAGTACTTTTATACATTTTATAAATTGTGTGGTCTTGCTCATTTTTAGGAAGTGGATCTTTACAGTTGCATATTAGGAATGTGGACCAAAAATAAGTCACAAATGGCTAGTTAGCCCAGCTTGATTTTAAAAAGTAAAAACGGCAGGAATTAACATTGATCTCTCTTGTCCATTGAGTGGGGTACCAAATAAATATTTCCATCAGGGGTTTGCTGTAAAGAATATTCATCTATGGAGTAAGGCTGGCCATCTTCATCCCTTAAGTGAGAGAAAACTTCTCTATAGAGGTCTGAGAGTCGGCATTTGATGAAAGCCAAGCTACGTTGGAACTCCAGCCGCTCTTGCGCCAGGTGTTCTCTTTGGGCCTGCAGGTGATTCAGTTCCCTTTCAAGATGGACGATGCTCTCCAGCTTTCTCTTCCTGCAGTTTTGGGCTGCCACCTTGTTCTTGCCTCTGCGTCTAATGTCTCTGACCAGTGCAAGTTGAGTATCTGTCAAAGTATACTGTGTGAGGAGCTCGTTGAAGTCATCGACTGGGAGGTTGATTATCTTGTCCAATGGGAAGGGAATCTTCAGAGCCATAGCTCTGCGCTCATCTCTGCTAAGAGGAGTAGGATTTGAACTGCCTCCTTGTGATTTTGTGTTCATGCCATATGAGCTCCCTCTGCTGGGCATTGTAGAATTGTATGGGTCAGCCATAACGCCGGTTTGTGTCAGGGGGCGGGGATTCATGGAGCAATTTTGTGTGTGAGAGAAACTGGGTTGAGGTGAAAAATAAGGTGGATGTCCACCAGAGTGTAAATATGGAAAAGTTTGGCTCTGGTAATCCATTGGGTAACTGTGACCCCTTCT